ACCCGGCACTCGTCTCCCCAAGGATGTATCCAAGCCTCAGCATCTGCTACCCTCAGAGCCTTACCTAAGGGCAGCAGCACGGGCCACATCTCCTGGGTACAGGAACCTGTAGAGGCTCCTGGACATCGCGTTAACAAACCAACAAAATTACTTTTAGCTGCCAAACCAAAACTTGCTCCTGAGCAGCTCTGGTCACCACCCTGCTCCCCCCAGTATTGCCATTTTTCCTCTTCCCAGTGTAGATTTATCCATTGGGAGAGTCAGGATCCTGAATTTGCAAAAACCATGCTACATTGATGCACCCTGAATGATATCATCAAACAGTATCTTGCCTTATTTTTGCTTTTTTTGGTGCTTGCTGGATCAGAGCTGCCTGTGCTGGTGTCGCCTGGATGCAGTGACTGATCTGGTCCCAGATGAGCTTGCGCTTCACGGGGAGGCAGGGAAATGGGGCCAGGAAGCTGCAGTCAGGCCCTGGGAAAACATTATAGGAGGTGAATAAGCTTCCCCCATCCCCCATGTTGCTTATGGATGGAATATTCCTTATAATTTTTTAAATATTTGCTAATTTGCAGAACTTAGCAGCTCTCACGATACCCTGCAGACTGATAAAATGTCACCAGGAATCAGAGATCTTGATGCAGCAGAGAAAAAGTGCAATTAATATGGGGAGGGGAAGAAAAAGCCACAGAAATGAAAGATAAGATGAATAAGAGCAAGAAGGAAATGATGTGTGTGAGACATAGTCTTCTGGGGAGTGGGAACCAGGCAGATAGCGCTATTGACTGCTTTTATAAAGGCGGCATGAATCACAGATAAGTGCCGTGTCATGTATATTTTCCAAGGCTCATTTTCCTGTTTTTCAGCACTGCAGACAATAAGGGGGAAAAAAAGAAATCAATCCAACTAGACAACAAAAGCTCCCAAATTTAACAGGGTAGCAGCAGGATGCATCTTCCTTGGGCTCCCTTTAAAATTGCCCGAGCCTGGTGCATGCTGCGGGAAGTTTCAAGGGACAATGAATGGGAGAGGGCTGGGGGCAAAGCACAGCAATTTGAAACACCTATTCCCAAAATAATGATGGATTACTATTATTAGATGTATGTTGTATGTCTCCCCCGTCAGCCTTTGAACCTGTGCAGGAACAGGCCCATCACGCCCGCACTCACAGCCAGGGGTTGGTATCACGGCACGCGTCGGTGAAGGGGAATTTTGGAAGAGCAGCCTGGCTGCTGTTATCACTGCGGCAAAGGCAATGGGATTTAGTGATTCAATCAGGAAACACAGATCCTGCCCGGGCCGGGGGATGATGGCTTGCTTCTCTGACATGTCCGGGCAGAGGGCTTTATTTCTTGCACCTCTGATGTAAATATATTAATACTTACTTGCTTACAGCAACTCTCAGAGATGCCGAGAGGCCTTGCAGCTTGCACTTTTACACTCGAAAGCCTCCAAAGACAATGTCCTGCCATAGCTCCCTCATGATTAATAAAGCAGATGATGCTGACAGCTATTTTGTACTACCAGGCTCTCTAGGAAGCTCCATGCCCTTGCAGTGCCCACCCTGGCACATCTACAGCACCAACCCACAGCACCGAACCCCCTGACAGCCCCATCCTGGGCTGAGCTTGCAGCAAGTTTCATAGAAGAATGAGGTGAGGGAAACTTGTAGTTACGGTGGAGTCCAAATAACCATTTACTGAAGAGGTGCAACACCCAAGGTCTGTCTGCACCTCCAGCTCGCTGCTGCGGGCAGGTCTAACAGAGAAAAATAGGGAATGCTGCTGGGAGAGTTGCAAATTCTTGAGTGAAAGAGAGAAAGAGGGAGGTTTTTATTACTGCATCCTGCCCTGAGTCCAAAGCAGACAAGTACATCTTGGGAGGGAGCAGATGGACTTGCACCCTCAAGCACTGCAGCAGCTCTGACAAGTCTCTCCCTTATGAAATTAAGGATTTGGCTCTTCCTACATTCACACGGAGCTGTTTCCCAGTAGGCACTGATCGATGGGGAGTGCTGTCACAGACAGCCCAAAAAAAATGCTCCAGCTCCCACTGCCGCAAGCTTTCCACCTTTGGCTTTGCTAACGAGCCTCGGTTTTAATGTTCTTATTTAACATTTCCTTCAGCTCAAGAAAAGCAGGACGAGTTCCCAGGAGTGACATCTTACTGCCAGGTGCACGAGGAGGGACATGCACAGAGGAGATGCCCAGATTTTGTTTCCCCCAGGAGTCAAGAGGCAGCAGCTGAAGAAACAGGTAGCTATGGGGCAGAGAAGAGCATCCTGCAAAGGTAACCCTGCAGCTTGGTAGCCTGAGGACAACCTTACTATGAAGGAGAGAGACCAGCACAGAGCTGTAGGCGTTAAGACACCACTTTACCCCTTTACTGGATGGGAATGTGCCATCTCTCAGCTCTTTATGGGTCCCATTTGATCCAGCAATATGACCAGGCCAAGCACGGATCTTCTGGCTCATCCCTTCTTCTCGCTAAATCACTGACAGTCATATTTTCTAGCTGCTGCCTCAAAATGAGCAGCGTTTACTACATGGTGTCTCATGCCCCTTGGCATTTTTGTGTCAAAGTGGTAAAAGGAGCTGGAATCTATTCTTGGCTCATGTATCATCAATAACCATCCTCCCTGAACATTTTTCTATTAATAAAGGAGCCAAAAATCAAAATAGGGAGACTGTGAAGGTCTGGATAAAGCCATTCAGAGAGAAATGGCTAAGTATTTCCTGTGATTTGTTGCCCATCAGCACCACGTACTGGAAAATAGACCCATTTGGCATCATTTATATCGGTCATTGGGGTGACTGCTGGCAGCAGGAGAGGGGTCGGGCGTCAGCATCACGCCTCAATTGCCTCATTTCTTTTCTCTCTCACACTTCAATTTCCACGTAAGCAGGGATGCATTAGAGAGTGATCCCTATCACTGCTGTGCTGACACATGCAATCCTGCCCGGTGCGGTGGGGGCTGGGGCCAGGGATGGTGCAGCCGCTCAGATCAAACCTTCCCCATGTCCAGCACCTGCAAAATCCGCAGGGGTCCCAAAAAAGGGACTTTTTTTCAAAACCACGAACAGGAGCTGGCTTGACTTTTCAGCAAGGATTTAATCCCCAGTAACCTTTACCAATTGTGCTATGCTTCCTCCAGCTGAAAAGGTGATGCTGTTTTGCTTCCAACAGGAGCTGTATTTTAAATTAACTGAATCTAGCCCAAAAGATTTCCAAGAAATAGGACCTTAGAACTGTTTCTGCTCCTTCGATCACACTGTGCCTCCTGGTAGTAGTCCAGGGAATAATAAAGGCAGTCTGCAGTGTAATCTGCAGTCCTCATAATGAATTTCTTTTTGTCTTGGAGCCATAGCTTCTGATGGGAATTGCACATGACCCTTGTCGGGACTGACCCCTCTGGAAAATGAAATGAATATTGGCATTGCTCCTGACACAGCTCACCCAGGTACAGGAGTGGGTTGAAGTCCTCACCTATTGCTCCACGGTCACAGAAAGAAAATATTATCCCGGTCCAGATTTCTGAGCCCACCCCTCCGTGACCTGACGCTGAGCACAAACCAATGCTCTGAGCTACGTGGATGGACTGAGAAAAAGAAATGTACTGCTGGTCATCTGCCTGGACAGGATGAGTTGTATCAATAAATCACTGGAATCAGGGAAAACAACGCTCCCTCCTGCTCTGGGTAAAGGTAGAAAGAGCAGGGCCAAGCCAGGCCAAGAAGGCAGCTATTGATTTTCATGTGGCTGGAGCATCACTTCCAATTTCCTGACATTTCTGAGGAGGGGAAGCACAGCCAAGGTTATTGGAGCAGACGGGAGGGATGGTTTTGTTTGTGGTGGAGAAGCCTGGTGACCTGCCTCTGTGGTTGTGAAAGCTTGGTCCCCACTGCAAACCCTGGGCAGGGAAATCAGAAGTTAAGTGATGGACCTGGAGCAGTGAGGCTGAGCAGAGCATAGAGGAGGAGGAGGGATGGAGCCTGGGGGAAGGGGAGGTAGCAAATCCACTGAGTTTGATCGATGGACAAAGAACATCAGGGTCCTGGGTAAGATCTGGAGAGCATGAGCTGTGATGGAGCTGAACTGAAAGGACCAGCTCCCTCTAAGCTGCGACAAGGAAATTGGGCTGGCTAAAAATAAAGGGCCTTCAAGCAGCACGACCTCTTCCTCAGGACACAAGGCAGGCCACGAACATGGGCAAAAATAAATAGGTCAAGGAGAGTGGCTCTTTCAGAACTGAACTTTTCAAAGCCATAGTGCTCAGGCAGGCAGGGCCGTGTTGGGGGCTGGCCAATGCCACCACCACATTGTGACCCCCCTTTGGGCAGTGCTACGCCATCCTGGGTCCTTTGTGGCCCATCCAGAAAAGCTTAATTTGGTCATTAATAACCACAGTGGAATTGAAAGGTGGTTGCAGAAGGGCATGGTGGTTCCCACTGAGCTTATAGAGCACCCAAGGGGTGCAAACACCTCAATCCTAAAACAGTGCGTGGTGCAGCCAGCATCCAGCAGAGAGGGTTTAATACCTGTGAGGAGCACACAAAGAGATGACTTTGGTCACAGTTGGGTGGATGTGGCTCAGCAGAGGAAGTGGAGGAGGTGGTATGGGCTGTGGGACAC